GATTAGCTCTCAGTGATCCTACAATATTTAGAATATGCACGTGGTAGACTGCTGTTAACAGACTATAGCAAAATTTCTCCCAAATTTCAATTAACTGTAAATATATATGTATACGTCTTCTTTGACGTGGTTATGTGTGCCTCAGTGCACTCCAGACGGTTCAAAGAGATTCTGTCAGGTTAATAACTGATATGCATTAATGGTATATTCAATTTGAAATAATTTTATATTTAATATTTCATGATCATGAACTGAACACAAATTTGCGCCGATATTCAAAACTGTGACAACTTAATCACAATTTGCTGTAGTATGTTAATATTATATTTTTTTTTTATTTATGTACGTTTCAGACACCCTTAGCTCTTGTCAAAAATGTGCAAAATATTTGTTACCATAGCTACATCACGTGCGCACATTTGGTTTACACGACGTTGCATTATTGTCAAATTTAGAATCAACAACTTGCAGGTTTAAAGCGGGGAAGCCATCATCTGCGCATGCGTCATATGGCCATAGCGTGTCATTGGGACTCAGTTCCCGCGCGTGCGCAGGTATTTCGTATGTTTACTCTGTTACGCCTTAGTGTTTTATTCGTGTTTTGTAAGTTTTTGTAAGGGAAGAAGAAAAGGGGACGGCAAGGCGTGACCCCAGCTGACCGTTTGGCTGAATAAAGCTGGTCGTACCTGATATCTCTACAATTTAAGCAAATTGAAATTCCCTACACATTACTTTCGTAGCTATATTATGAACACGATGATTTTCTCATCGTCCGGTTCCCAGGTTTTTTGCTGAAGTTGGTTTGCCATGGAAGTCCTCGCAGATAATATGAGGCGACGCCTGAATAAATAAAGCTTGGCTTGCGATGATGTGATTTAAACTTTTCATCACCAGTTCCGTCTTTTCATCACAAATTCATACTCGTAAAATAGTTCCGTTTATAGTCTGCACTTTCCTTCAGAAATTTGGGACAAAAATAGTATTTTTTGGTGAAAAACTGAAAATTGGCTCAAATTGTATCTCTTGGCTCCAAAATTAGGGTTTATTTCCAGAAATATTGAAGAATATAAGAAAAAGTACAGACAAAAAAATGGGCGAGAAAGTCTCGGGGTGAAAAGGTTGAGTCGCCTATCAATGGAGAATAGTTGCACGTCATAACCACGAACCACTCCTTGTTTACATTCACACAAATCCACACGGGAAAACTTCATTGAAAAGGTGGACTAGGGTGTGCCAACAAAAGATGTACTGGGGACAAAAAAAAACCGTTGTTCTTACACCTATCTCTTGTGTCAAAACGTTTCATACCATACAAAACAAACTCCTGGTCGGTATTTGTGCAAACAAGTTTATTCTTGTATTTGACACGTATTTGAGTACATATCATTGAATAGTTTTGCATTTCGAGAAATTTACTGAGGTAGCGGGGATACTTGAATGAATAACTTATTCGATCCGTTTTTTCCGTTTTCGAAATTTAAAAAAAAAGAATTGAAAAAATAATTATTGAATGAAGACAGAACATAATTGGCTCTATTCTCTATATATTTTTGCATTTCATTCGTCTGGACTTATGACTGAAATAAGCTGAATGAAATTAAAAATGATGTATCGTGTTCAACAACTCATGTATGAACAATAACTTTAATAAACATGATTTTACTTTGGGGATTATAACATATAAGGGAAACAATTTCCAACAATATCGAAAACGGACATTCTTTATCGCAGAGAAATTCAATTTCAACTACTATAAACTGAAATTATATTTTGACACGAGAATCGGTACGAAAATATAGCACACTTAGGAACGACGTCAAAAGATCGATGTCGGATAAAAAACATAATTCTTTTAGTTTTTTCTCAAAACCCCCCACCCCCCACTGAAACTTAATTGATAAATATTTATCATGGCGTCAGATTACATTAACCATTAAATAAAAATTGATAATCGGACAGTAATATGGCATAGAAGTTGGTTGTAATAATGAAGCGGAATTTACACATACGTTAATTTCAGGGTTCTGCGCATGCTCCATGTCTATGATCTGAAATGGACCTCATTTGACGCACATATTTACACTCGGACCAAACCATTTTCTCGTCTTGGACGTTTGTTTTTTTCATTTTCTGTTATTTT